GGCATTAATAACAAAAGTAATAAAAAATAAAATTAAAATAAGTTTATAGCCAAAATAATTAAAGCCTGTACACTACATCAGATTTTAATCAGATTGATCGATTTACTGAACTTGCCGTTGCCGAGGCAATTAGGAAAATTGGTCCTGGTGCCTGTCGTCAATTTGCTGCAGAGTGTGGTTATATATAAATAAGACGTCAAACTGAAATGCATATAAAACGTAATTTGTTGATATTATTTAATAACTCAAATAGAAATATAGAGGGTAAAAATGAGATCTCGTTAACACGTCAAGTATGATTTTGTATGGTTTCACTTTATAAATGATTATATAATGAACACATTATACACAATGTACTGTTTTTTTTATTTTATTTATTACCATGTATACTAATCACATTTAATGTATGTAAAACATGTTTGCAATAGGAATACTAGAAAGCTGTACATGAACACAAAAAATGCTATTATCACTGTTGTGAATGTGTAAAAAGTGTTTTCGTCAAAACATAAACTGGTAAATAAATTAACAAAGGGTGTGTCTAATATATTTGACTATTGTAAACTGCTTGAAAAACAAATCACACCAACTATCTAATTTGTAAAAATAAAAGAACACATCTTTTTTACCCCATCCCCCTTTTTTGTTTGTGCACACTTCCCCAATTTTCATTCAGACTAAATTAGTTTGGCCACTGACTTTGATATTAAATCAAAATTTGTAAAATAACTGATCATAAGTTTACTTTCCACACTCAACATGTGTTTCCACTCTAAAATTTTGTGTATACTCAGTTTTGTGAAAATGTGAAAACAAAACATCATAATTTTATTTTCACCACCCAACAATTTTTCCCCATTCTAAAGTTTTATGTACTTTTTTTCAATTTTAATTCAGACCAAACCCAGACATGATGGTCTACTGAGATTTCAGAAACAAAAATTGTTGTCAAATTTGAAAACAAAACAAAATTAAATATTGCCCTTTTGCTAATAATGATACATATATTTCTTGGAAAAATAGGCGGATTTTGTTCTGACCTGGACTACCGATTTGTGTTTTAAAATCAGTTCTTTTGTTCTGGTTCGGCGGACAGAGCTGCCGCGGTTGCTGCAAGATTTAACAAACAAGCATTTGGATCAAAGTTAGTAATGTTTTCTGTTTGTTGTGTACTTGGAACTTGTGATACAGTTGTCTGTACTGGCTGCGGTGGGAATTCTGGTATGTCAGGCTGCGAAATGGCCGATTCTTGAGTGGGTAGAGTAGCAGTAGATGTTACTTGCACATCTCTGTTTGAGGGCAGATATTCATATCGTAATGTAAGTAATTCTGCGGGTTCGGTACAGCTGGGATTTGTAGCGGATGGAATGGTACTGCCCACGGAGAATTTACATTAAAACCACCTGTATACATCGACCATGGGCGAGGAGCCATCATCATGGGTTGAAAAGGTTGGGTCATGTATTAATTAACAGGACCGGTGTTTATATTATCATGCGCGGTGTTAGGTTCAGCTGAACTTTGTGCCGGAATTTCAGATACGGTGGATGTTTTCCTAACTTTGCGAAAAATCTCTATTTCGTCACTGCTGGAAGAGTAGTCTTCATGAGTATTTCTATAAATGCTAGTTTTCAATTTTGCTGCCTGCATAAGTTTAGGAAACTGCACAGCATCATTCATATTTTGCTCGGGAATCTTACTATCCAAAGCAATTTTCAACAATCGAATATCCGTCAGTAGTTTACCCTGTCCAC